TTACACATTCAAAAAGGTTTTTTTTAGGGGAAAAAGCGACTTTGAAGATGATAACATCCATAAACTGGTTTTTTTTTTAAAGAGAAACTTGAGATTTTTAGTGTAAAACATGCGCATGTTAAGTCATTAAAGAGTCCTTTGGCTGCTGAGAACGTTTTATTTTTAAATGACATTGTTAAAAAATTTCGGAGTTTTTCGGAGTCGGAGTCGGAGTCGAGTTTCGGAATGAAAAAAAGTTGACTCCGCAGGTCTCTAATGCTCATACAGAAGAAGATCACAAAAAAAAAAATTTTGATTTTTACTCCTCCCTGTGTCTCAGCAGATTTTCTCGTCAATGTTTATAAAAAAAAAAAACTAACTGTTATTTTCAATTTACTTTTGAGTCTTTAAGTAATGTTAAAATTTGATTACTAATACGATCATTTTCTTTTTTATCATTAGTTTTATTATATTTTTGTAAAAGTAATTCTAATATTGTATCATAAACTGTTGTAGCAAGATGATCTTTTGGATATTGCTAAAAACAAAAAATTATAAACAATAAAAGAAAAAGAAAAATTTAAAATTCTACTTTAACAGCATATTCAAGATAATCAAGTAATTCATCTGGATTATTCATAAATAAATTAATTAATGATTCTGGTAATTGTTCTTGTTCAATTTGTTGTGGTGTTGGATTAAGTTGTTTTAATAATTTTGTTGTTAATATTGGTTGTTCTTTAATAAGACTTTTACCATAATTTCGAAATGCTTGTAAAGCATCATCAAATTTTAATGTTTGAATATATGTTAATGCTTTATCATAATCTTTTTTATTTTCAATTTGAATTTTAATATATTTATCATGACGACGATATTTAGCTGATAGTGCTAATGCTTCATCAAAATAATCTTTAAAACAAAAAATTAAATAAATATTAAAAAATTTTTAATAGAAAAAAAATACAAACTAGCTTGTCGACAAACATCAATTGCTATATCAACATCAAAACTTAATTCAACATCAGATGTTGATGGAGATGTTTCATTTAAACCAATAAATTTTGCTAGACGATTTATACGATCAGGATGTTTAGTATAACAATTAAGTAATAATGTTGTATGATCAGTATTAGCTAATTTTTCACGATGTAATTCTTCTAAATATCGTGTTAAATGATCTATATGTTGAGAATCAAGAAACTAAAGAAAAAGACTTTTTTTTTGTTTTTGTTTTAATGTTCATTGATATTTAATAAATAGAATTATTCACTTTTTTAATAACATAAGATGGTTCTAAAAATCCGATTGTTTTACAATATTGATCCGTCGCTGTTTCATATTCATTTTTTCTATAATACAAAGAAAATGAATTATTTATTGTAAAATTTAATAGCTAATGATCGGTATTGAGTTCTATGTAATATCGATAAAGATATCAGCATGACCAAGTGTTACAAAATTTCAGAAATAGAATTTTAGCAGAGTTGAGAGTTTAGTATTTTATTATGAAACGAAGCAACATATAAATATTATCCATTTCTGAAAATAAGTTGCTTGGGCAGAATTCTTATAACTTTTGAAAGGAAAATGATAGAGACTTGGGATTTTCACCGTTGGATAGAGGACATCAGAGCACGTAAGGCTATGTAAAAAAAGATCTGTTATACAAGGTACGTGTTTATAACTTTTTAATAAATTTGTCGAAAACCGCTAAAATAAGCTTCAAATTTAGAAATCTGAAATTTCCTTTTTC